TCTTTCCTCTCTATTCTGTTGTTGGTGTTATAGTTTGTTTCTTAGCTGCTATTGTGGCTTCTGCCATCAATGCCCTGTCGAGTACCTCCACATAAGTAGGTAACTTTAGGACACCCACTCGGTCAAATATTTTCAGGTCCAGCCCTCCCTCAAACTTTTGTGCTTTCTTGTAATCAGTATCCACCATATGTGGAGCAAACCGTGCCAGTTCGGTGAATTTAGCTTCATACTCTGCTACAGCCATTCTTCTCTGTTTAAGTTCTTGGATTTCCGACACTTTCCGATCCCTGAAACATTGGGGAAAGTACTTGTCGTAGAAGATAGCATTAAACTGTGCCCATGTTATATTCCCATTACCATTTCAGATCAGTAACCACCACCTGCGAGCTTCATCTTTCAGAGTGTAGGTGGCTAGGAGGACTTTTTGAGTTTCGGTATAAGGGAACACTTAATACAACGTCTCCATTTCAAGTAGCCACGTCTCTGCTTTCAAAGGTTCAATTCCACCATAGAATGTTGGCGGTTTCATTTTCATGAATTTCTGTGTCAGATTGATGATGTCATTGTTATTTGTCTCGGCTTGTGCTAGTGGAGGCAGAGGGAGCAAAGGTTGTTGTCTCTGTTGTTGTGTCAAGGTTTCAGTCAATACTGCTAACATCTGTTCCATTCGGCCCATGCGAGCCTCTGAAGATTCACTTTCACCACTTCCCGTTGCATTCCCCATCTTACTATACAGACATCAAATGATAATAAATACAGGCATAATCTTATTCGTTTCCTTCAATTTATTTGATTCAAATGTACATTCAGTTTTCATATTCAGTTGCATTACCACACACTCACACATGCAAATGGAATGTCCCTAACTCTTACTAGGACATCCTAAGCTCATACGGACCTGTGTGTGCGGTAGAACACGTGCTCCGATACCAATCTGTCACGACCCAAACCCGCCCCTATAGGTTTAGCACCGTAACTGGCCAGTAATCTATGGATTACCAAAGGCCTCTGAACAGATTATCAAGTGATAAGGGGCTGCGGAAGCAACAATACAAAATAGACAAGGTCCAATGAGCTGTGACAACGTACATGGGACAAAACATTTTAAAACTTATTTATATATACATAAACATGCCGGTCAAGGACACCAATATTTACAAAATAATTACAGAAGTGAACTTTCCAAGATCTGACTATACAGTGCAAACTCTAAGACTAGCATGAAATACAAAAATAACCATGGCATTAAACTTCGATCGGAACCTCCCCGGGGGGCACAAAGGTTGGCTGACAAAACAGTACAGAAGGCCGTCAACTCTGGCCCTGGTCATATGCCGGTTCACCGACATACATAATATAAACTGTAAGCGAAAGCCCAATGAATAATAATAGAGTAAAGAGGTTATATGAATGATGTCCAGCACAAGTTAGAATCCATCATTTAAATTAGAGCATAATCAGACTTCAAAACAGGAACAGATTCATATACATTTTCATATTCAGATTTTGCATAAGATCATACGTGGTACACCCATTAGCTATTAGATCAGATTGGTCCAGAAACCCACATATATAGTTGGTACCAACGACCACAAAGGTCCATATCTTGCGCGCAAGTAGCCATGGTATTGTTACCCCCAGGCAAGGGCCAAGTGCAGATTGACCGCAGTATTGTTACCCCCGAGCGACGACCACGTGAACTGAGGGTGCCACAAATACTTTTCAGAAAATTGGACATTCATTCATCAGTAGTAAGATAGCATTTAAGAAAACAAATTATACCATACCAGTCAAAAAATACTTAGGTTAAACATAACTTTACAGAGTTATTACTCACAGTGGGCCTTGAGTCAGATAGATGGAGTAAACTTGGTCAAACGGTACATGGCACGTGACCTACACAACACATAACAGATGCACACTTGAAACACACGTTCTAATTGTACAAAACTTATTTCATTGGCCCTTAGTGTGTTTCTAATTTCTTATCCTCATTATGGGGTCTAAAACATGGCCTAGGAATGCCTAGGATGGAATGAGGATGCAAGGATGCCTTGAAAAATATTTTTCAAAACTTGCTGAAAACAGGGGTCTCGCTCGAGTGTGGCTTTCTTCGCTCGAGTGAGCTTGTCAAAACAGAGGGGTCGCTCGAGCGTAGACTTCTTCGCTCGAGCGGTCTGTAAAAATGAAAAAGTACTGGTTGTTGAAATTTTATGCTCGATTCCCGCTCGATGCTCGTTCGAGCGTGAGACACAACTCTTCGCTCTAGCGTAGGTCTCGTCGCTCAAGCGTGCGTCTGCATGCACCAAAAACCTGAGAGCTTGCAATTTACGCTCGAGCCACCATTCCTTCGCTCGAGCGTAGCTCTGAACAAACGATGGTCGCTCGAGCGTGGAATCCTTTGCTCGAGCGAGGAAGCCAAATTCTAGAATTTCCAGATTTGCCTCCCAAGCTCAAACCAAGTATTCAACACCTCAAAACTCGACCTCTTGGGCCCATTTTCTGGAAACACTTGTAAACTCATAGTATAAGGTGTTTCAATGATCAATTTGTAAAATCAAAGCCCAAGGGTGAGTCAATTGAACACAATTTCAAATAAAATCTCAAGAACAAACCTTGAATGTAACATGCAAGAATCTCCTTGAAACCAAACCCTCCAAAACATGATCGAACTTGATAATTTGATGGACAACAAGATAAATGGCCACAATGTGAGTGAAATTAATACATGCATGGAAGAAATCTTAGAATTCAAACTCAAAACATGGAAATGTATGCATGCATGCATGAATTACTACTCAATTCAACATTTAAACCAATTCTTGACTTTAATCTTCAATTTTACCATGGATCATGCAAGGTATAACTTAAATGCACAAACAAGAAGGTGATTTTCCTACCTTGGGTCTAGAATTCAAAGTCTAGGAGCTCAAATTTGCCAAGCCTCTTCAATTCTCCTATGTTCCAAGCCCAATCTCTAGATGAATTCAAGTTTCTCTCACTCTCCCTCTATCCCACGGTTTGGACAAGAAAAATAGCTAAGGAGAGATGTTTCTAAGTGTAATGAAGTTGGTCTCAAATAAGTCACTAAGTGGCATTTGTGTAATAACCCAAACAAGTATAAATTAACATGATTTAATCTAATTTAATCGCTCTGAACCGAATTTTAGTTAAAGCTACCATAAAATTCTATAAATCCTAACTAGCACATAAATCAAGTCAATTTCTTATTCGAACGCCGATAAGGCTTCCACTTCGCAATTTCAAGTCAAAACATGAACAGATCAGTTTATGGCAAACAGATAAAAACACATAAATAATGCAATACACATGCAAATAAATCCCAAATCCTTCCTAAATTACTGTTAAGTATAATTAATCATGAATTAGCATTAATCGGACGTCGGGGTCATTACATTCCCTCTCTTTTTTTTTTCCCAAGATCACTCTCTCTCACTCCTCTAGTGCATGGTTGAAAATGTGTAAAATGAGGGGGAGAAGTGCGCGTATATAGAGAAAGGTTTGGAAGGTTTCTTAGGGACCAAGTTCCATAGGTGTAATTGGTCAAAGTTGCCATCAATGCCATTAAGGCCATTTCAACTCTCACATGACTAGCTACTTGGGCTCTAAGAAATATATATATATATATATATATGAGATATTTGTATGAGATATTTGTATTTATAACCATAATATAATAGGCACAAGTACATTAATTATTAAAATATTACAATTAAGGGTTGGAATGAAATAAAATAAAAGTATATAGGGGCCAAGTCTAAATTTATGAAACCTTGATATATGTTATTAATATACTAACATTAGAAAATAGTTAAAATAATAAATATGGGTACTGTTAAGTTAAAGCACAAAGAAGGGCGAGAAACCGAGCGAAACGGCGTTATCTGGAATTAAGATTTTAGAGTGATTAATATATAATGATAAGGTCTAATAATTAATAATATGGTTTTAAAAGTGATTATTAATCTACCGGGATCGATTAGGGTTTACTCGAATTAATCCGTGATGCTTCCCGATTCGAGGGTTTAAAACACAATTAAGCGAAAATTCAAGGGCTTTATTGAAATAAACTCAAGGTTAGGGATTTAACGGTAATTACAAAAATTAGGGTCACTACAGGAGGATAATACCCTGACATAAGTGTACTTGAATAATTAGTTTGTGACTAGTATCTATCTCTGCAAATAACAAACAAACAAAAGAAGAAGAAAGAAATAAAGAAAATAAAAGGTTTTCCACCTATTATTACAATTACATATGTTGCAAACTAGCAACAACAATAACATAAACCCTTAGATGTAAATGCCTAAAGACGTCATCCAATAACAAGAATATTACTACACTAACCATAGAATTCTTGACAAGGTAAGATCAATATATCCTAATCCATGAAGTTTATGACATGGCCCTATAGCAATATAGTAGGAGTGCAAATTTCAATATGAAGTTTATGACACAGCTAAACCATATTGGCATATTTTTTTGTGGTGAAATATGACAGAATTTCTGTGGTTGCTAGTGATAAGATATCTGAGCTAAGCATAGATATAGAGCAACAACAGATATAGAGCAGCAGCACAGTCAAGGCTGCAGCCTTAGCCAAAGACACAGCAGCTACAACTCAAGCCACAAATGATAGCTGCAGTATGAAGCCTCCTCAGATCAAGTTATTAGTCTATTAGAACTATAGTTAACTACAAGTAGTTGTGGTTAGGTTAGGAAGTTAGTGGTTATGTTTAAAGCATTGTATCACATGTATATAATACATTAGAACCCTTTGTAATGATCATTAAATGAAATGAATCTCAATTTCTTTAGCTAGCTGCTGGGGTTTAAAGTGATTATCAGTCAAAAGTAACCTTTATTCTCAACAAGTACAATACAATTATGGAAGCCAGCAACCATAAAAATAGCCTCATCACCATAAAACCAAGAAAGAAAAACTTGAAAGAACTATATGGGACAGGAAAGAAATTAACCTGGAAGCAAGGTAAGCCTTTGATGTCATCTTTAGTGACAAATAGCCACCTAGAAAAGGAAAAATATAAAAAATAGAAGAAGAACGTAGAAAAGAAAGAGATAGAAGTTTAGAGGCATAACCAAATGAAATCGAAGAGGAAGAGAAAAAATGCCATGCTAAAAAACGGTTCATCCAAAAACCACACTCAAATCAAGCCAATTCCATTGTTCCACAATCGATCATTAACCAAGACAAAACTAACATTGAACTCTACTACTATTGGCCAAAACAATTGAGGACTTGCGTAAATCTCATTTCACGTCCAATATCCATTATGAAGATGCTAGACAACCCCAAAGAAGAACAAAAAGAGTAAAAAATAAATTTTCCCACTTGATGTAGAATCTATTTAAGACTTAACTCCAACAAGACAAAATTCCTAAACAAACGAATCAAATTGTAACTTAAAAAAATTACAACCCAACTCAAGATAGACCTCTTAGAATATAATGACTTTAACTAGAAAACCCATTATAAGCAAATAGAAACTTTTATGAGTATATAAATCCAAGAAAAATTAAATTAATCAATTTGCTTCCACCACCATAAAGTTTCTAAACAAAAGCACTGAAAATCCCAGAAAAGGCATCTGATCCAGTCAAAGAGTTGAACTTTCAGAATATAAAGACTAACAAATTATAATAAATTCAAGTTGATAAGACCAATTAAACTCCAATAACATCTGCCATGATAAAATAAATAAAAAATAAAAACACAAAACAAAACCAAAAAAATAGAAAAACAAACTAACTCCACCACCAAACATTGCACTAATACATCCAAATTAGCAAAAACATCAAAGTGGTTATTCAGAAAGAAAAAGGGGCAGTGTAACTTACAAGCCACTTATCACGAGAATAGAGGACTGTATTTAACATATTCTCAAACAATAAAAATATCCCATTCACTCTGAAATAATGATATCCACTTGAGCAACTGGAACTTCAATTTCCTCAACTTTTCCATTCAAAACTGTGATAACTTTGGTAATTAAAATGAGAAAATATAAAAAGGCCAAATCAGTTAAGAAGTAAAAGCAAAAACTGGGAAAAAAAATTATGAAATTCATTATTCCTAGTGACATCACCATCTGAAAAGCCGTTTACTTTACAATCTCTTGTGCCATGTTTTGCCCTTGCTTTTGCACAAAAGAGTGACAAAATTCCAGTATCGGCACCTACATCAAGGACTATTTTGTCCTTGAACAAGAAATTATTTTTATAAATAACATTTTGGTATGTCTTAGTTCTCATTGCATCCTTCAACATTTCCAGCAACGCCAAAAAATCAATAAGAGTAAAACATTGAATCTTGAACAAAACAATAAGTAGAAGCTAAATATATGCCAAACCTAGATTCATAGTCAGGGGAAAAAATAATTACCACTAATAAAGTGATCCAAGGTGACAAAAAGATATTCAAAAACACAAAAGAAAAGGAGGGGGAGCAAGCAAGTGATAGATGGCATGAGCTTTACAATTCTAGCAATGATTGCAATTGTATCAATCTTAGCCACCAAAATATGTAGTTACGCCAGTGTAAAGTGTGTTAAAGGTAAACAAAGAAACTACTTCCAAACACCCAAGTCAAAGAAATGAACTAAGAATTTTAAGTAGGATCACACCCCTATATCTCACAGAATTAAACAATCAAAGCTAAATTCAGAATCCAAAAAAAGGTCTACCCACCATACATATAAATTAACAAAGTTCTACAATCAAAATCAACTAATTAAAAAAAATGAACACAAACCCTAGAAGACAAATTGACAATCAAACAAGAAACAAAGTGAGACCAATAATGTCAAATTTTACACAGAGAAAAAATGCATAACCTGTTCAACATCATCACGGTTGAAATCGTCACGAGATTGACTACCATAAATGCCAGCACTTTCAGCATCAACATCGTTCTTCCCAAATCTAAACCAACATGTGGCTCTTGAACCACTACTATTGGATCATATTTTAGAAGGTTTGAGCCATCCAAGTATCTTTCGAATACCCAGAAATTGAACTAGTTTTGAGTGAGTATGGAGCTGAACGATATGAAGAAGATGAAGAATTGTGGGGTTATGATGCGAAGATTGATTGGAGATACAGGCGAAGAGAGACAGAGAGAGACAAATAGAAAAAACTTGATTCAAAATCAATGGGCTTGAGACGGTGTACTAATCATGGCGATGAGACGGTGAGTGACGGTGGCTGATGGTTAGTCAATGAGAGGAGACTGATGGGCAGTCGACGAGAGTGAGAGCAAGAAACTTGAGTGTTGATTGGTATTTCCTTTGGTGTATGTATCATTCGATACATACAAAGAAATAATAATAAAAAATTATAAAATTAAACATAAAATAAAATTAGGTGGTAAATATTTCTCCCAAAATCTAAATGTTCCTATCTCCATAAGGTTTAAGTAAATTTCAATGCTCAAATGAAATATAAGGGATAAAAAAAAATTTAACAAACACCAAGCAAACCATCCATCATAAATTCATGACTATCCAATACCTCCAACATTAAGGTAGCACAAATAGTCAAAACAACTTAAATAATGTAAAATTATAAAATAACCCATAACGTCGAATTGTCAAAATACTAAGGTCAAAATTAATAAATAAATAAATGACTAAACTAATATCATCCATAAACTCAATAAAACACAAGAAATATGAGAGACATGTCCTACAACCATAGTTATTTCTCATCTTCACCGTAGTCCCTACTAATCTTGCAAAGGAAGTTCGGCTGTGCTCAAACAGAATGCACCCGAGATGCCAAAAGACAAAATGGGTCTGTATACAAGTATACTAGTATGAGTACAAGATGTGACACTCACGTATCCACCAGGCACAAACAAAAGTACATTTAATTCTTGTTACAGGACAAGACAAGTAGTTTCACTCGCACCAAGACGAAGGGGTAGTTTCCCTAGATACGGTGACATTTAGTTTCTTGCCCGTACACAATTAAATATAAATTGAGTACACAAAAAAAAAAATTAAATAAATAAAATATGGTGGGTCAGCCCCTGCATAAAAAGTTAGTAAGACCCACCATTCTACAAAAAATAAAGTTAGTATAATTTAATCATAAGTAAATTACTGAAGAAGTATAAAAACGAACTGTTTCATACTTAAATCACTTGAATTGACCAAAACTTAGAGAATAAAAGTTGTGTAGAATCAAATTTCCTAAAAATCTTTGCGAACGAATTTAGTAGAAATTGAATAGGTTGAGGGAAAAACTTGATAGAAGAACCTAGACGGAATTTGACTGAAAAATCTGAAGCTGAAAATAAAAAAACTGCCCTAAGATGATTTTTTTCGGACAAGTTCAAAACATAAAAAGTGTTCAGAATAATGTTTTATTTCATTTTATGAAAAATCAATAAAAATGAGCTTGTTTCGTGAGTTAAAATAATATCTAAAATCTGCATTGCTAAAACGAATAAAAACTATTGTAACGAAGATCATCCGTTCACAAGTTCTAATCGATCTTTTTAGTAAAAAGTTAAAATATAAAAGTTGTCTAGAATTTCGTATACATGCCTCTGCCCAAATTTTATAATTTATCAAGGTCATTTATTATTTTTTGAGATGTACAAATCAAAGCAGTTCAAACTATATCAATAAGTTCATATTTAATTCTTTGTACCTTAACTCTACCATTTCGGCCATTCACTTCCGACCTACACATATATTCCATGTGCCCCCCGCATACCTAACACTGCTTTGAAGCCAAACTTGCACGAGGATATCGTCCCTTGTTTGAAAGCACTCGTCTACTCCTGAGAACGAGACAACAATATATATATATATATACACACACAACACCTTATCTACTCATGAGAACGAACATCACAATATCGAGCCTAAGACATTCAAATAAATCTCATAATCCTCACTGTTTTTTTATACATTCTTTCTCACCAGTTCTCAAATAAAATAACAATCCATAGAGTCATTGTGGAATATTCGAAATTTATCTATGGATTCCAAGTTTATTTTAATTTCATATATCCATGAGTGTGATTACAACTATAAAATAAATACATATAAAAACCCTAAACCTTGCATACACAACTAATCAAAATAATTAAAAACTATCCATCATCTTCATACAAATGCAATATGTAGACACCCCATTTTTGACCGACCTCAAGACTTTGATGTCATCAGTTGTGCACTCGATGATTGCGCATGTTTGTGCTCGTTTTGAGCGCCCGAAGTTCTCGGCTGAGTGTCTTGTCTTTGAGCTTCTTAACACTCTGTGTTTTGGCCTTGTTTTTGGGCCAATCCTTGATGCCTCTTGCCCAGGGGAGGGAGAGGCCTTGCCGGCCACTTGTGGCACTTGCCGCCACTTTTCTCCCTTGTAGGCCACTTGAAGTGGCCGGTCGGCTAGGAGAGGTGGCCAGCGGCCAATTTTTTCTTTTTTTAGATATTTTTAGATCTTTTGACCCAACTGTTGCTCACTGAGACTCATCCTCCATACACGTGTATGAAGAGATGGAAACAAGCTTTTAGCTTGTCAAACAAGGTTTTGCTTGCTCTGTCTATATAAGGGGAGGTCCCTCCCCCTTTAGAGGGGTTCACAAAAATTTCAGAGCTGAAATTCCTCTCTCACTCTAGAATTCTTCTCTCTCTCTCTCTCATATATATATATATATATATTGTGCTATATTGTACTTAAAAGTGTGTTTTCTTTACATTTTTGCACTATAACACCTAGTCAAACACCTTCACTTTGGAGCTGAGGCCCATTGAAGCTTGGTTTGAGGTCTTAGGCTTCGTTTTGGTTTAGAATTGTTGCTGAATTATTGTTGTGCTTTAAGGGTAACAACTTGTCCCTCTCAAGCTTTGTTTTGTTTAAGTGCTTGACCACCTTTGCATGCTATTTTAAGGCTGGTTTTAACCTCTTAAAAACTCTGATTTTAAGGCTTTAAAATGTGGGTTTGAGTCTTGCTTGGTTAGGGAGTGTTTCCCCTCTTTTGATCTTTGGCTTGTAAAGCTTCTTGAGCCACCTTTCTTAGCCTTTGTAATAACCTTTGTTTGGCCTTTCTACCACTGAAACTTAGAGGAATTTCAGTGGTAGAAAGTTGTCATTGAGGCCCAAAATGGAAGGGGGTGGTCCCTTATCCTCATGTCATGTTTGCATGTGTTGATGGCCTACCAAGTGAGCATGTGTTTCTCCCTTTTTGAAGCTTAGTTCAAGCATGTTTTTGTGACTTTTTGGACCTGCTCTAACTTTATTTTTGGCTGGTTGGAGCTCCTCTTGTTTGCTTCTTACACTTGTCGTGTAATCATACTCACTAGCTTAGTGTACTTGATGTTATAGCCTATTATTCTAGCATGTGTTGACTTCATTCCAGCATGTTTTTGGCCTTGCTATGACATGTTTAAGCTCTTTTTTGAGTGGTCTTGGTCCCTTGAGACCTGCTTTGTATAGTTATAGTGCAGATGGTCTTGACTAGCTTCGAGTCCTCAGGCCTTTAGCACGTTGTGTATGTGATGATTACATGTTTTGGCATCATTTAGCATGTAACTTCAGTGTATATAGTATAGTCACACTCTCACATATTTCACTCTTTCATAGCTTTTGAGAGTTGTGCTTTATGCCTTGTTTATGAGCCAATACATGAGCATGATTTTCTTGCATTTTATGCTATCATCTCGGCACATTTTAGCCTCTGTTTTGACATATTTGAGGTCTGTCCAGAGTTGGTTTGGTCCCTTGGAGTTTGATATTGCATGCTTCTAGAGTGATGCTCTTCACTAGCTTAATGTATTTGGCTTTTTGAGCATGCATTACATGAGTTGTTTGCATTGTTTTTTAGTCACTTAGCATGCTATCTCAGTGCTGAAATGTGTGTCATTTCACTCCATTGTTTTAAACTTTCATTCACCTTGAAAGTGACCTTAAGCCCCTTGTTGGCTTGAGCATGAACTTGAGGCATTCATGTCTAATGGTTTTAATCCTCCTTCGAGGATTTCTACTAACCAATAGAATGATACTTTCTTCATGCTCAAGGCACTCGAAGCTTAGGTCGTCTTTCAAATTAGAGGACTTTGGACATTGAACTTAATCGGTTAATGGACTAATTGGTAAGCTAAAATGAGTAAACAAGAATTGAGCACAGTAAAACATGCCAAGATAACATATGTGTGTTGCATTGCATGCGTTTGGATCGGACGTTAATCCAAACACAAGAAATGTGGCACGTTTCATACTCAAAGTGATGAAACGTGTCGCGTTTCTTGGTCGTTGTCACCATTGATCATGCATGATAGGGTGACAACACTTTGAGGCTTATGTGCGTATTCACTAAAGCTTGTACAAGCTTGATCCTTGGGCCATCATGCGTTGAGATGCTTGGTTGGTGGCTTGAGAGCCAAGTACCACACTCCTTTGAGCTTGAGACATGATGAGGAGGGTGGTAGTACACACATTTCTTGCCAAATACATTGTCTTGGCTCTGTTGCTCTTTGTTGCAGCAAAGGCATAATTCTGGAAAGAAAAGTGGGCCTACCGACCACTTGTACTGGCTAGCCGGCCAGTTGAGGTAGCCTACCGACCAGTTGAGGTTGCCGGCCGGCCACCTGTAAGAGAAATTATCCAAAATGTTCCTGTGTTGGGGGTAGATGCAACCTGGAAGTTCATATGATGTTCTGAGATCACCGCGAGTGCAAACAGAGGCAACTCATGGCAAGGCAATGCATTTTCGGGTGAAGTAAACCGAGCATGCATGTCTCCCTCCCCTCGAGGCCATTTTTACTGCTTTACTTAGCTAGTAAATTTACCGATTTTGTAATTAATTAGTTAATGTGCTTAGCTAATTTAATTCATCTCTGCAATATTCTAATTAGCTTAGCATTACTAGTTTCAATTCGATTTGTAATAATTAATTAGCTACGTTAGTTAATTAGTTGGTTTGTAATAATTAGCTTAGCTTAATGTAGCTTAGCTATTTATTTAGACCTTCCTTAGCGAGGGCATAATGTTGTAATAATGGTGCGTGCGTGTGTGCATGTCTTCCAACCCCACTTCTTTCTCCCTTTTACTTACCGTTTTTGATGGTTAGTTTTAGGGCATGTTTTGATTAGCATACTTTATGTTCGCATGTTTGTATCATTCATTTGTATTGCATGCATCGGGCTCAGCGCATCATTCAAACTGCATCGTAATTCAATACCTATTTGAATACGTGTATCAAGTGTTGCATTTATATGCCATTTTAGATAGCCGAGCCTATTTAGTTTCACTTTTGTATGTG